AAACACTGCCAGGGATGGGCCAGCCACAGCTTCTCTGGGCACCCTGTGCCAGCACCTCAGCACCCTCACAGGGAAGAGCTTCTCCCTCAGAGCTCATCTCAATCTCCCCTCTGGCAGGTTAAAGCCATTCCCCCTTGTCCTGTCCCTCCATCCCTTGTCCAAAGCCCCTCTCCAGGTTTCCTGGAGCCCCTTTAGGCCCTGGAACTGCTCTAAGGTGTCCCCTTGAGGAGCCTTCTCTTCTCCAGCTGCCCCAGCCCAGCTCTCTCAGCCTGGCTCCAGAGCAGAGCTGCTCCAGCCCTCGCAGCAGCTCCGTGGCCTCCTCTGTACTCACTCCAGCAGCTCCACATCCTTCTTGTGTTGTTGCCCCAGAGCTGGACCAGCACCGCAGGCTGAGGCCCCCAGCCATCACCAGCTCCTCTCCCAGGCCCAGGCAGCACATCCACAGCCACACCTCCAACCCAGGGAGGCTTCTACACCCCAACAAAGCCCCTTCCACTGCTGCTGTATCACTGCACGGTTGCAGGAGCAGGCTGTGTGTGCTCCCAGCGCGGCCGGGCACCCCGTGGCTGCCACAGCCCAGCTCTGAACAGGTTACCAGCCCTTTATTAATTGCTCCTCCAGATTTGATTAAAATCCCCTCATTCTCCAAGCCCTTCGAGCTCTGTTACAACTGTTCATTTAATTACTTTCCACCAGCACTCTGATAACACCAAGTGTAGCAGGGAGGAGAGTGGGTTTTATTAAGGAGAGTGGAGGAGAAGAGGGGAGCTGGGGAGGGGATGCAGGGAGCTGCCTGCCGTGCTCCTGCCTCAGTTTCCCCACTGCTCCAACAAGGCAGAAGTCACTTGTTCCATTACAATTTGCAATCTTTACTACTGAAGGCTAAGCCTGGGGAGCTTCCCTCCTCCCAGCCCCAGCATGGGCTCAGCATGATGCCTGCAGGGCAGGGATAAGGCTGGCCAACCAGTACCCTTAAGTTTGCATGTCAGTGAGGTTACCTGCGGCGTTCACATTTGTTTGTCCATACATTGCTTCATGTCGTGGCAATGGGGTCAATAGTGGGTCACCCCCAGGCAGAGCCCACACAGGCATGTGTCATGGTGGCCCCTGGGGACATCCCCAGTCCAGGTCAGCACAACAGCCCCCCCGTTATCCACATCTCCAACATCTCCCTTGCAAACAGGAGGCTTTGCTGAGCCAGGTCTGGGACAGACACACAGCCAGGGACAGAAACACGGCCCAAGGCAGCTGTGCCCAAATACAGCTTCTGCCTCACCTGGAACACTGCAGGTTTCCTTCAGCAGAGCAGAAAGCAGAGCCAGGCACTGGGAGGAGGGGGAAAGGGCTCTGCTGTCCCACAGGGCTGTCTAGACAAACCCACCACGCAAGCCCCCGGGCTGGCAGCCAGGATCCTGTTATGCTCCAAGCTCTGCTGTGTCCCACTCACTCACACACACACCTCTGCTGGGCAGAGGAGAGGAGATGCTGCAGACGCAGCCACCCTGCATCACCCCACCGGGTGCACCCCCGATGACCCGGATCCAAAGTGCCACCACCACGGTACGAGCCTGCTTCGCCTGCTTCACCTGCTCCAGTGTGGCCCATGGATGGGTGAATGGCAGCAGCACCTCTTCCACAGGTCAGGGATTACACAAGCACTCAAAAAGCCAACTAAAACCTCCTATTGTGAGATCCAACCTCACTGCCAGGATGACAGCACCACATCCACATCGGGTCTGTACCTCTGGCTGATTCAGCATGAGCAGAGGCAGGGACCAAGGCGTGCACAGCAGGGCCTGGGGCACATCAGCCCCACGTCCTCTCTGCCCCAACGTGCAAAAGCAGCCACCCCAGAGAACGAAAAGTGGTTGAAGGAAGGAGCTTCCGCTAACCTGCAAACACTCTGCTCAGGAGGGGATGAAGAGAGCAGGCAGGAGGTTTATGGCAAGCTCCTCGCAGCATGAAAGGGTCAGGAAGCCACCAGTCCCCAGGGACCATGGGCATTTCAAGCAGCTGCTGCTAACAATTAATGCCTTGGGCAGTGCTTCCGCAGCGGGGAGCTGCACATGGTCCCCAGGCAGCCTCATCCCAATAAGCAAAGGGCAGACCCCATCAGGGAGATGCCCAAAAAGGTTTCCCATCGCCAGGGCTGCAGGCTGGGGCTGCAAAGTGAGGAGAGCAGAGGGGCTGAATCCCTCCCCTTACCTGCTTCTCAGTCATGGCATAGATGTGCTGGCGGTCGGGGCTCAGCACCAGGTCTCGCAGGATGGAGCTGCCCTCGTGGGCCACAACGTTCTCGTACTGCAGCGCTTGGTGCTTCCTCTCGGCTGTCAGGTCCACCAGGATCTGTGGAGAGACAAGGGAGCGTGAGCTCATCCCACATGCACATGGGGAATGTGTCCTGCTAGAGACGACACCCCTCCATCCCACCATGGCCACTGCATTACGGTGAAGTAGGAAAGATCCCGACCCTTTCCTTAAGGCCAAACTACAATGTTTTCTTCCCCATATTCATAGAATCCCAGAGCAGTTTGTGTTGGAAGGGACCTCAAAGCTCACCCAGAGTTCAACCCCTACCATGGGCAGGGACACCTTCCACTAGAGCAGGTCGCTCCAAGCCCCTGTGTCCAACCTGGCCTTGAACACTGCCAGGGATGGGGCAGCCACAGCTTCTCTGGGCACCCTGTGCCAGCGCCTCAGCACCCTCACAGGGAAGAATGCTAATGCACCATGTTCATGTGATGGCATTCCCCTCTCTCCGGGAGGGAAGCCACATCCCTGGTCCTCACGTTGCACCCCTTAACATGCTGCCCCACTTCCCCACTGCTGCTCAGCCCCAAAGCCCCTCCAACTCGCAGCATGGCACAGACAAGCCCCCAGCTTGCAGCAAAGCAGCAAACCCATCTCACCACAGCGGTACCAAGAGCAGTTTACACACTGCACCGCGCCAAGCCCCACTGGGCAGGATGCTGCAGCACACACAGGGCTCACACCTCCCCATCCATCACAGGAAATGCTTGGACAAGTGACCAGGAAGTCAAGAGGGTCTTAAGGAAGCTGGGGGTCAACAGAGGTTCAGAAAGTGCCTTTGTTCCCTGAGCAGGAACGTGGGGAAGGCTTTAATCCCCTTACAGCTCACAATTACATTAAAGCTCTTCTTAAGTGCACCAGTTTCTGGCTGTACCAGCAATAACCCCATCAGGATGCTCCTCTGGTCCCCCACCAAGCAGAGAATAAGCTCAGCTGTGCCACAGAACCTGACGGCCACCTCCACGAGCCTGCTAATGCTTGTGATACCCCCTGATTCAGGCTGTCCCCCAACATGGGTCAGCCTCAAGGGAAACAGTGCCAAGAAATGGCTCAGTGGGTCTCACCTGCTCCCATGGGATGACAAGTACCCCCAAAGGCATCACAAAGCCCTGCCCGGATCATCGCACCCACTCCCACGGCCATCCCCAAGCCCCTGTGTCCCCGCCATGGCATCCTGGCCACCTTGTCCCCCTCCTGCAATAAATCTCTGCTGGCATTTACATAGCTCCCAATCAGGAGGAATGGGGCCGGGAAAGCAGGATCCCGGTGTGCAGCTGATTAGCATGGAAATGTATGCGGCTCACAAACAAACCGGGGCCGGTTTAATTAGAGCGGCGCCTTTGATTCACTGCCAGCCTCCACCATGCACCAGCCCCGGATTATTTTTAGGCAGTTTTACAAAACAAATGTGTTTAATTAAGAAAAAGACCCCTGAGCAAGCAGAGCGCGACGTGTCCTGCACAGCAGCGAGCCAAGGGGCTGCTCTGCTCCCTCTGACCAGCCTTGCAGCAACAGGATCACTCCTCAGAGCCCATGACACAGCCAAAAACCCCCTGCATGTCCAGGACTGAAGAGTCATTGCCATAACCCAAGCTGGTCCTGGTACCCACCTGCCTTCTCAGCATCCTTTGGCAGATCCCTACACAGATTCTGCTCTCCGTCACCTTCACACTGGGTACCACCATGTGTTGGGGAACCCAGAGATGCCGAAAGCCTGTCATATCACAGACTGGTTTGGGTTGAAGGGACCTCAGAGCTCATCCAGCTCCAACCCCTGCCCCGGGCAGGGACACCTCCCACTAGAGCAGGTTGCTCCAAGCCCCTGTGTCCAACCTGCCCTTGAACACTGCCAGGGATGGGGCAGCCACAGCTTCTCTGGGCACCCTGTGCCAGCGCCTCAGCACCCTCACAGGGAAGAGCTTCTGCCTCAGAGCTCATCTCAATCTCCCCTCTGGCAGGTTAAAGCCATTCCCCTTGGCCTGTCCCTACAGGCCCTTGTCCAAAGCCCCTCTCCAGGTTTCCTTGACCCCCTTTAGGCACTGGAGCTGCTCTAAGGTCTCCCCTTCAGAAGCCTTCTCTTCTCCAGCTGCCCCAGCCCAGCTCTCTCAGCCTGGCTCCAGAGCAGAGCTGCTCCAGCCCTCGCAGCACCTCCGTGGCCTCTGGACTCAGCCTGCCCTTTTATTTGGGGGGTATCTTTCCACCCAGGTCCAGGACCACATTTGCTCCTACTCCCTGCACCAGAGGATGCCAGGCCCTGGACACCTCTGGTACAGAACCACGTGGCACCCCCTGCTCCGCAGCACCGCTCGCTCAGTGGTACCAGCATCACCCCAGAACCCTCCCTCCCTGTTCTCTCCCCTCCTGCCTCTCAGCATCTCCCCTATGAAGTCCCTTCCAAGCCAGAGCAGGGTATCGGGAACATCCCCCCCACTATTCACTGTGACAAATGCACCTTTCCAATCCTTTCACGGGCCGCAGCAGAATCGATACCGCTTTCCCCTGGTTCTAAAATAGATCTATAGCTGGCTGTGGTGTTGGCAGTCATTTTTAACTAGCGGGGTAATTTCCCCATTACATTATTGCACTGCGCAGTGCTGGGAAAGAGAAAGAGACATTAAAAAACCCCAACAGACGTGAAGTGCTTCCAGTTAATTTGAGGCTCCAGGAAGAACCTAAAAATACACTGGGGTAAGCAAACAGGGCTGGAGCCCAGGCTGGCACATGGCAGGGTGTGCTGGGGGGGGGGCACGGGGCCACCCCAAGCATGCCAATGTGGAAATCCATCTCTTTAGCACCTCTCCTCCCACTAAGGATGCTCTGTGGGTGGGTTTGGGATTCGGGAAGTGACATTTGGAAGCCCTGGCAACCGAGTTGTTCTCTGGTTGGCCAAAAGGTTAGCTCGTGGTAGGCAAACCCATCCTGCTGCTCCTCCCCAGCACGAGAAGACCACCAGCAGATAGACCCAACGTCACCCCACACCACTGCGCCATGCAGGCAGAGATGGGAACCCAGCATCAAGGCCTTTCCAGCAGGATTAGCCCAATGGGAACCTACCCATCCCAGATGGGATGGGCTGTTTGGACGATAACACAGCAAAGCAGTGCATGGGATACACAATGTGCAACCAATCCCTTACAGACACAGGGGGGAACCACTTCCCCCCCTCTCCCTGCATCCGTGGGGTAGCTGGGGCAGGGGAAGGGGGAGAGGATGTGGTTTAATCAGAGCAGCCCCCTCGGAATCACGCTCCTTCCTGCCCACCCTCCGCCTGCCTTCCCACCCGGGGGAGAAGACATTTACCAGAAATAAATAAATAAATAGACCTATTAACCTTTCTCCTCATCCTGATGCTGATATAATTACCCAATACTAATAATTACTCACACTAATTTCTCGCTCAGGATTCCTGCCCTCGCTCTTGCTGCCTCAGGCTGGCTTCAGGCAGCGGCTCAGTGGTGGTAAAGGGCTGGCAGGAGCCCCAAGGGGAGGCTGGATCCCAATGGAGGAGACCAGAGGCAAGAAGACAAGCTCCCTGTGGGGTGAATCACCCCAAAGGCTGCTCTACCAGACAGCCATGTGCTCATCCTCCCTACCCAAGCGAGGAGCCCACCCCACAGGGTGAACATCCAGCACAGCTTCACTCTGGAGAAGGAAGAGTTTAAGTCCTGGTCCCCAGAAGCTGAACGGGATGGTAGTGACAGAGCAAGGCCAAGAGATGCTCCTCACCATGGAGAGCCCCAGTAAAGGAACAGTGAAGGAAAGGACACCATGCAATACTTGAACCAGGGGCACCCAGTGTAATGAGTGACCACGCACAGCACACCTCAGCTGGGTAGAAGCAAAGTCCTCCCCCAGGAGGCCCAGACAGGGTTCATGAGAACGAACGGGATGGTAGTGACAGAGCAAGGCCAAGAGATGCTCCTCACCATGGAGAGCCCCAGTAAAGGAACAGTGAAGGAAAGGACACCATGCAATACTTGAACCAGGGGCACCCAGTGTAATGAGTGACCACGCACAGCACACCTCAGCTGGGTAGAAGCAAAGTCCTCCCCCAGGAGGCCCAGACAGGGTTCATGAGAACGGCATGGTCTTGGCTGGGAAAGGGACCTGCCATCCCCTACAGGTTTTGGAGCAGTGGTGCAGGGTCAAGGCCCGCCAAATTTTTTTTGCCTTGAGCCCAGTGCTCCCTCCAAACCTCAGCTCTCCTTAATGCTGCAGCACCCAGAAGCATCCGCAGGTTCCAGTCCCCACCACAGCCAGTGCTGACCTGAGGAGCTGCACAAGACAAGGCTGGGACGTGAAGCCCATGTGAAAGACAAGGAGAAGGGAAAGCACAAGGACAGTGGAGACAACGCATCAGAGGAGATTTATCCATCACAGAACACTTGCTCCCAATGGCAACACACCCTCCAGGCTTGTCCAGGCAAGGAGTCATCTCCCCACTGCCATGAGCACTGCTCACCAAACCACCAAGGGGAAACCTCCCCACGTCCCATGGCCACCAGCAACAGGCACAAGGCAGAGAGGAGCACCTTTCACTTGGTAAGACAGGCAATGAGAGGAACAAAGGGCAGCAGCCGTGGCCCGGCGCTGGCAGCGGAGGAGGACGGCAGCCAAGGATGGAGCTTTATGGCTCAGCACGGTCCAGGGATGCCAAGGGGAGAGGGAGGAAGCGCAGCCGGAGCAGGAAGGCAGCTGCAGACATACCATGGTTGTGCCTGGATTTAACACATGTGCTGGGCTCTGGCGTGGTCCAAGGGTGCTGGTGGGAGGCCACAGGGTCCCTGCAGGACCCACAACACGTGCACAGAGTCCCCAGGATCCCCCATCTCACCACAGGGGACACCCCTCAAGCCCACCACCAGGAAGAAGGGGCTCTCCCACCGCAGCCCTCCATCTCCACACCTCCAGGCTCTCAAACCCCATCCCGGGTCCCAAGGTCCCCGGGCAGGAGAAGTGCTCAGCCAGGCTTTGTACTCTTATCTCTACAGGCTGTGATTAATTCACAGCGGCTGGGAGGGGCTATGCTTCTGCCC